TTCTATATACTGACAATAAACAATTGGAAAATGTAAATAAATAACATACTTAGGAATAAATTTAAGAAAAGATGTGCAAGGCCTGTGCAGCAAGAACTATAAAGCACTACTGACAGAAATCAAAGAAAATATACACGGAGAGATATACCACATTTGTGAGCAGAAAGACTCAACGTTATTAAGATGTCAGTTCTGGCAGGGCACAGCGGCTCATGCCTGTAATCCCAGCACTTTGGGAGGCCAAGAAGGGCAGATCACTTGAGCTCAGGCGGTGGAGACCAGCCTGGTCAACATGGTCAAACCGTCGCCTCTACTAAAAGTACAAAAACTAGCCAGGAGCCGGGTGCACTGACTCACACTTGTAATCCCACACTTTGGGAAGCCAAAATGGGCAGATCACAAGGCCAGGAGTTCAAGACCATCCTGGCCAACATGGTGAAACCCCATCTCTACTAAAAAGACAAAAAATTAGCCGGGCATGGTGGCAGGTAACTGCAGTCCCAGCCACTCGAGAGGCTGAGGCAGGAGAATTGCTTGAACCCAGGAGGTGGAGGTTGCAGTGAGCCCAGATCATGCTACTGCACGCCAGCCTGGTGACAGAGCAAGACTCCGTCTCCAAGAAAAAAAAGATGGCAGTTAGTTCTACCCAAATGGACCTAGAAATTCAATGATTCAATGCACTCTGACTCATAACTCCAACAGGCTCCATTTTTAGAAGCTGACAAACTGACTCTAAAACTTATATGAATATACAAAGGACCTAAAATATTCAAAGTGATTCTGAAAAAGAACAAAGTTAGAGGTCTTAAGTTACCTGATCTCAAAACTTACAATAAATGCAGAATAAGAAAAACAACATGGTAATATCATATAGATAACAGGCCAAAGGAACTCAATGGAGTCCAGAAACAGACCCAGGCTTACTAGGTCATTTGATTTTTGACAGAGGAACCAAAATCAACCAAATGGGAAAAGGAAATGTCTTTTCCACAAAAAAATATGGGAACAGTCAGATATCCTTATGGTTAAAAAAAACCTCATTTGTTACATCATGTAATATATAAAACTTAATTTGAGATAGATCACAGGCCTAAAGGTAAAATCTAAAACAATAAAGATTAATGGAGAAAATTAGATAACCACAGTGGCTCATGCCTGTAATCCCAGCACTTTGGGAGGCTGAGGCAGGCAAATCACCTGAGGTCAGGAGTTCAAGACCAGCCTTGGGAACATGGCAAAATCCTGTCTCTACTAACATGAAAAATTAGCTGGGCACAGTGGTATGCATCTGTAATCCTGGCTACTCAGAAGGCTGACACACGAGAATCACTTGAACCCAGGAGGCAAAGGTTGCAGTCAGCCAAGATAGCACCACTGCACTCCTGCCTGGGGGACAGAGTAAGACTGTGTCTCAAAAAAAAAAAAAAAAAAAAGATATACATTTATTTAAGTGATGCTTAAAATTAGGAAAGTACCAGAATCTTCAGTAATGAGGAAAAGAAGTATAGTTTTAAAAAATCTTTTCATGTAATTCTGATAGCCCTTGAAAAACATTCCATGTTTCAAGTAACCAACTTGCAAACAAGCTTTGGGAACAGAATTTGTATGAAAGCATTTTCTGATATATGCCACAGTTGACCACCGGGGGGCACTCCCAATGCCGTTCTATCAGGGCTTCCCAGGGCAGGCGTGTGGGCGCAGCAGGGATGCGGTGGCTGCTGCCACACTCAGTTCAGCACCAGGACTGCACTGGTGTTGCTCTGTGGGGGTGTTCTATGCTTTTCTTGGACAGCACATTTACCTTTCCAAATATGATCTCATTTAACAAATGTATTTGTTTACAATGGCTAAACCCACACAAATTGCTCATGCCCTAGGGCTCAAATCGTGAATAGAAGGAAGAATTTGTCGCAGTTACCCACAATTTTTTGTCAGATAATCAAGAGCTGGCTGTAACTACTCATCCAAATAACCCTGTAACTACTCATCCCTGTAACCCTAAAGGGGTCCACAGATGTAATTTGTTAGAAAATCATTCACAACAAAATTCCTAATTCAATGTAAAATACTGTTAAAACTTTTTCTTTTTTTTTTTTTTTTTTCTTTCAAGGCAGGGTCTTGCTGTGCCACCCAGGCCGTAGTGCAGTGACGGGATCACAGCTCACTGCAACCTCCTCCTCCTGGGCTCAAACCATCCTTCCACCTCAGCCACCCAGGTAGCTGGGACTACATGTGCGTGCCACCACACCCAGGTAATTTTGGTATTTTTTTTTTAGTAGAGACATGGTTTCACCACGTTGCCCAGGCAGGTCTCCAACTCCTGGGCTCAAGCAACCCTCTTGCCTCGCCTCCCTAAGGGCTGGGATTACAGGTGTGAGCCATGGCGCCTGGCCAAACCTGTACATTTTAAGGCCATCTAAGATATCAAATAACTTTAAATTAACAAGTAATACATGTTCCTACACAGAAAAGCACACCAACTAAATACTAATACATGATGAGCAGCTACAGGGAGGGAAAATACATTTTGTGATTGTGGACTGAACTTATGGTTTTCTTTGAAAAGGATAATTAATAATATTTTTTCAAGTACTTGGACACTTTACACCTTCATAAGCGAGCCTGAACAACTTAGGACTGCATATGCCAGGAGAAGAAACTGTTAGAGCTTGTTATGACATAAAATGTGAACGTTCCCTACCTAATTTTAAGAGAACGTTTTAATAAATGGAGGCCGTCTCCATTTAACCGTAACTGGAGAGAAAACAGAGTGTGGAGTCGTGCCTTCAGAGCTTTGTCTCCCCACCACGCCCCCTGCCTTGGTCAAACACAAACCCTGCCCTCTGCTCAGGGACGCAGACAGATATGCAGATGTGCCCATGGTCAGTTTCCCCGCCGGCAGGGAGTTTCAGCCTACACTGATTTTCTGCAGTTTATTCCATGAAGAAAATGTAGTTTTACCCCCAGTTGTAAGACCATATTACATATGCTTTTTCCTTTTTAAGTTTTTCATTGATACATAATAATTGTGCATATTTATGGGTGCATGTGATATATGTGCATACAATGTGTAATGACCAAGTCAGGGTATTCAGGATGTCCATTACTTTGAACATTTATCATTTACTTATGCTGGAAACATTTCAAATCTTCTCTTCTAGCTATTTTGAAATATAAAATATATATGGTTTTTCAAATTACCACTGATGCCTTCCTGCCCCCAGAAGATTCTGATATTCTTCCTCATTCCTCACCTTCAAGAATCTTAATGTAGAGGACACAGTTAAGTTTGAAAGACTAAGTATCTCGACATCTTCAGCCCTATGCTTTCGGGAGGAGAGAAATTTGTTTTGGAACCAGCAGGGCAGGGCAAGGTGTTCAAATGGTATTCTGTGCGGAAGTCCTGCTGGAAGGAGTCGGCCACAGCCACCCGCAGCCTGTCAGCGGCAGAGCCCTGCTGGCTTCCTCCCGAGTGACGAGCAGTGGTGGAAACAGATGGTGGCCACTGTCCGCAGAACTCATGAAAATGGAACTGACCAGGAGGAAGGGTCCTCACAGGATAGCCTGCTCCTGGCACCTGCTTGCTGTCCACAGGACTCAGCTGTTGAAACACAGTGGAAAAGCACACCCAGCAGCAGAGATCAGCCACCAGGAACACCCAGCTGTGTCAGCTGAGCCTCTTTCAAGCGACGGAAAAAGGAGTTTAACAAAAAGCAGCTTCCCCATTTTAGTAGTGACATATCTGTTTTGAGTACCAGTGGGCTCCTGTCTGTATACTCAACATTACGCTTACACATTCTTGTTGGACATTGATATTACATATGTTCCTCTAAGACACTGAAATTATACATGCTCCAAACTCTAAAAAAGGGAGGCAGTGATTTGAACAGAATTACGTTTTAATTTAAAAGTGGGGGTACTGTTAGGAAGATACATCTTATTTTCAGAGAATACATTTCATTGTGTTTCCCTCTAACCAAACATCGTAATTTTCTGAGTTGTTTTCTCAAATGCTCGTATCTGACTTGTATATGATTTGATTATTTTTGGTATTGTTGGAAGAGGACTAAAAATTTATGAGAAATTAGCCCAAATCACAAGAGAGAATTCTTCCCAATTTTTCTAAGTAATTTATTATGGTAGCTGTAAAGGAAAAGTAAAATGGACTCAGGTATCAGTTCTTCTGTTATTTCCAGGTAGAAATATGAGTTCTGCTCCATTAATTCCACCTATCTTTCCAAAACAAAGAGACCTTGCCAAAATACTGTGTTGAACACGGCAATCATTGTGTTATAGTTGTATACTTCGATATATAACTCCAACATCAACTACTACAAATAAAGATGTATTAAATAAAAAATAAAATTGCAAAAGCAGCATTATTTGTTTTCAACTTACATGACAAAACTCAGTCCAGGACAGAAATCAACAGTGCTCTTACATTGTGCCCAAATATATTTAGAGCCTACTGGAATTAATCATGAAGGTATGGCCTATTTTCCTATAGTATCCCAGATGTATACAAATTTGAGTACCACCTAACTCTTGTGAATAATACAACAATGTTCAACGCAAATTTAAAAGCTCTTGGACAATCATAATTACGACTACTAATGATATGCAAGCAAGAAAATAAAATTGAAACGAACAAAAAAGTACTTTGGTTATGATCCTGTCCACTCCCTTACTGGATACCCACACTCATTAGAATGAAAATCATTTCATCACTGCTCTGTCATCTAGTACATGAATATAAACCCTGTCGACACACACAATCACACACACACACACACACACACACACACACACACACACACAAGACTTGTAGCACTAATGACAGTCGTGATGACTGCTAAAATAGAGAGACTTTGCTTTGTAAAAACATTCATTCTAAAAGGTTTTTAGTGTACATCAAATGGCCTTACCAAACCCCACCGAAAACCTGGTGGTGAAGCGTGGCTCCCTGCACAGGGGACGGCTGTGCCTGAAGAAGCACTGACCTTGTACGCCTGCATGAGCATGTGGATGACCCCCGGGGCGCCGTGGCACCAGTGCACCAGCCGGTCTGTTTCATTGCTTAACGATGACGGGTAATTCCCAGATCGAAATTTTTTGTGGCGCACGTAATCAATACTGGGCTTCACCATTTCTGTCAAGGTTTCTTGGTCCACTTTTGCTGCTGGCTTTAAACAAACAAAAATAAAACGCAAGTTATTTTTTCTGAAGTTATTTCTTTTAATGATTGTATCGTGGCTAACATAATAACACATAAATGACATGGAAAACTAAAGAGCACATAAAATCAGAAGTAATTCAACTATCTGCTCATTGAAGATTTAGGCACAACTTGTTTCAACTTTTTGAAATCTTTCTAAAATATCTTAGTGTCATAATGTATTTTGTCTCTTTGGTGGACTAGGAACACCCTCCTAGAGAGTAGTGAAGGAAATGACTGAATGGCAAGCGGACCTAGGAGTAAGTAGGTTTTGTTTCATTGATTTGCTTTGTTAAAATGTGAATACTTGATTTCCTTCCATGTGGCTCACGCCTCCTAAAAAGCCAGGTACCCCTCTTTTCCCAAATCTATATACTGGCTTTGTTACTCGGCAAATTATTTAACCTCAGTTTCTTTATCTCTAAAATAGGATAATCATAGTACTCAACTCCCAAGTGTTTGTAAGGAAAAGGGGAGAAAATAATGCATGCCTCACTCCTTCATCCAACAATTTGTGGCAATATCAGCTTTTACTAAATGAAGGCACTCATTAAATGTTACCTACTAGAATTTACTGAGTTTGTGTTAAAGTTTTACTACAGAGACTAAGACTAAAAACACTCTTCAAAATATCTGCTAATTTTGAGGCATCGTTTTTTTTTAAAGGGACTTAAAACATTCAGGGTCTCAAGTTACTGTACAGATTCCCATGAAAAATCCTGGTGAGGAGTCAGACAACAAGGCTGGGCTAAGTGAGCATCTTGGGGTGACATACTAATGCCACACAAATGCCTTTAGTGTGACATGTTAGCGTCACACAATGTCTTAAGATGACATGTCAGTACCACATGCTCTTCTTAGAATGACAGATTAGCACCACAGAGCATCTTAGGGTGACGTGTTAAACCCACATGTCTTTAGGGCAACACATTGGCACCACGTGACATCCTTACAGTGACATGTCAATGCCACACATCTTTACGGCGACACATCAGCACTATATGACATCTTTAGAGTGACAGGTTAGCACCACACAATGTCTTAGGGTGACACATTAGCGCCACTGAACATTTTAAGGTAACAGCTTAATGTCACATGAAGTCTTCAGGGTGACACATTAGCAACGCACGACATCTTTAGAGTGACAGGTGAGCAACACACACATTTGTTAGGTGAATACCAGCGCCACAGAACGTCTTAGGGTGACATATTACCAACGATGTCTTTAAAGTAACATGTTAGCACGACATAAATCTGCATATTGCTAAAGTCTGAGATAGAGAACCTGTCTCCGGCCACTGATTTTTCATTTGGCTTTAGTGGCAAATGTCAGGGGTGATGTAAAATACTCTCATAACTGAAATAAAATACAGTATTGCTGTAAATTCTCATCATTCCATTAGCATCTAAGTCTATATGACATCTCCTACAGAACAAAATAAAAACCTAATTTCTTCAACAAAAACTTAATTTTATTAAAAATGAAGGAAAGATCATTTAAGGAATATCAATACTTCCAAACTTCACTGAAATACAACTATATTTACTCACTAGAAAATCTTTAGGTGTTTTTCCTGATACACACTTAAAGAATGTATTAGCTTTTTAAAAACTATAGGTCATGAAGTTTATTTCCAAAAGGCTACATGGTACAAATCACTTTCATACAGGTAATACATAACCAGTTTAAAAAGTCAAAAAATGTTTAAGAGCTTATCTCAAAGACCAACAGCCCGTGTCCTTCCTAGGACACATGTGAGTTCCTTGTGGTTGTGGTGGTTGTTAACCGCTTCTTCCTATTTCGGCGGTATGTCTAAACAGTACATGTGTGGCTGTGCTCTGAGTTACTGATTTTAGGCCTCCCCTTGTGGCAGATGACAGACACATTCCTTCCTCTAATCTTCCCAAGAGAATTTCACTCTGGTCATCATTTTGAGTTACAGCCATATTCCTGTGTTCTTTATAGACTATAATATGCAAATACTGTTAGCTCCTGAAACAGGAAATACACTGAATTACAGACATTCTTTTACACCTTTTAGTTTTTCCTGGAGCAACTTTCTCACTTTTTATTTGCTTAGTTTTCTTTAAAGCAGTACCTAAGCTTTCTCATACCCACCAACCGCTCTATAAGAAGTCTCTAGATGTGATTTTCCACATGATCAAATCTACTATGACTTTGTTTCCCCTGGAGGTGACTCTCCATAATCGGCTGCTTTCCAGATCTTCTGTGCCACTGCTGTCCTGGGTCTTCCACGTGCCAACTCCCTGGGGATTCTGCTCCCCTCTCCTGTACGAGATTCCCTCTTCCCTGGATCTGATCCTCTCTCTTAGAATGCTCCCTTGTTGTGACAGACACCACACTCCAGTAGCTTCCTAAGATGGAGTACAGGGGAATTAAATTTGGGGGACTGGAAGTTTTAAACGGTCTTTGCTCTACTCCACATTTAGTTAGTAACTTTCTGGGCAGAACGCAATGCTGGAGTTCCATTTTTACTCAAAACTTGGAAGTCATTTCCATGTATCTTTTAGCATCAGTGAAACTGTTGCAAAGTCCAATGCCGTTTTTGGACTTTGTAGATAACCTGTTTTTTCCTCTCTAAAGTTAAGCTCTGCCTCCTTATCCCTCACGTTAAGCTTTCACAATGATGGACACGATGCGGAGTTGCCCATCTCCACTCACTCTGTAGGAACCTGCTGGGTCTTTCCAATACGCAGCTACGTCCCTCACTTCTACGACATATCCTTGCGTTCTTTTCCTCCCTCCCTAGGTTTCCCACTAGTCAGATGCTGGACCTCCCGGATGAATCCTCCTGTTTTCTTACGTTTTCCTCTGCCATTGTCCAGTTCTGCCTGCTTTCTAAGATATTTGACTTTGATTTCCAAACATTTTCATGAATTAAAAAATTCCGCTATTATATTTCTTATTTTCAAGAGCTCCCTCTTGTTCCCTCAAATGTTTCTTGGAGGCAACAGCTTCTCTTATTTCCCTGAATATATTAACTATGAATTACTATTTCTTCGAAGCTTTCTTCCACTTCCTGCCTCTCCTTTGTTCTTGTTCCTACTTGTTCAGGTCTCTGTCCTTCAAGCTGGGGCTTTTCTGTCCATCTCCAGCTACCGGGCTGTGCTCATGCACAAGGCCCGGCTCCTGGCTGCCCTCGGTGCACAGGAGGGGCTGCGGATCAGTGGCAATCACTGAAGGCTGGCTGGATGGGGGACTGCCAGGGCTCTCCAAAGAAGCAGGCCAACGGGATGTGTAAAAGTAGAGAAAGAAATTCACTTCAAGGAACTGGCTGCAGAGGCTTCAGGAGTCCACAAACTGCCCAGTGGGGCCAGCAGGCTGGAGACTCAGGAAGGAGCTGCAGCTGGAATCTGAAGGCAGAGCGCGGGAGAATCCTCTCTGGCCTGGGGGTCCAGCCTTTTGTTCTAGTCAGACCTTCAACTGACTGGACAAGGCCCCCGTGTCCTACGGGACAGCTGGCTTCACTCAAAGTCCACCCATTTAAATGTAAATCTCATTCAAAAACACCCTCATAGAAACAACCAGAATAACATCTGACCACATGTCTGGGCACCAGGGCTCCGCCAAGTTGACATAGAAAATTAACCACCCCGGATGGCAGACTAACTTTTTAATGGGGGCTTTCAAGTATCTGTGCCTATGAAACTTTTATCTGAGCCAGTTGTCTCTCCAGAAAAAAGACTTCAAGTTCCAAGTGGGGTGGAGGTGGCGCTACCCCTTGGGGTAAGGGAGAAGTGACGGGGCTTGAGGCTGATGGTGGCGGAGGGGCGGTCTCACCCTGGACCATGGACACTCACTTCCGCCCCCTATTTTTAGTTCTGTGCTTCACTCCATCTGTCTTCTACATCTAGCTTTGCTGAATTGCAAGAGCCTGGTTAGGTTTTCCAGACCTGGCTCCTTCAGTCTCCAGCAGGAGTTGAAGGATCCGCAGTTCCCTCCCTGCGCTGGGTGCAGGTGCTCACGGAGGTCCAACTGCTGTGCGTGTTCAAAGCAGCCTCCTGGCCAGAGCACCCCCCCGCCCACGCGTGGCACCGCCTGCTGGGGACATGGCGCTTTCCCGTCCTGAGTTCTGTGGTTCTGTAGAACAAACTGGCTTGCTTCTCGAGGGCACTCTCCCCTCAGGCACTGACGCCGTCTTCCGTCCCCGCGGGTCAGCTGTCATTCTCTGGCCTGCTTCTGTTCACAGGTTTGCAGCTGGAGCTCCAGATGCCCCGTAGCTTCATCAATGAACTGCGGTTTCTATTTTGATGTTTTTCTGGTTGTTTTGAGATGATTTTCAAGAGAACCGTTTTTATTCGGCTATCACGAAAGTGGAGATCTGTTTCAGCCAGATTTTAGGAGTGTTTGCAGACACTGTTCTGACAGCCTTCCAAACGACACCGTCCAGTGGAAACACTACTTTTTACACAACTAAACTACTAGACAATGAGAAATAAGAACCAAACTCTAAGTCTCCAACTCACTGAGCAGACCCTTGCTTGGCCAAGGGAGCCCGAGGCAACCATGAAGCTAAGCTCCCGGTCATGATGGGCTAAGAGGTGGGGCTCACCTCACTCCGCCCTCCTGTGCGGACCCCATGAGGCTTTCTGCCCTATGGGTGAAGCGGGTACGAGGCCTTTCAGCAGACTCCCCAAGGGCAGCGACCATCGCCTGACTGCTCCCCCACCTTCTGTAGTTTCAACGACCCAAGCGGCCAGCACTTGCTCCTGAGAAGGCGCCAGGGAGGCTCCGGCCAGCCTACGGAGGCCACTCAGGAAGGCCTTTGTTCCTTTGTTTCACTGTTTGATTCAGAGGGCGGAAAACACTACCCTCGGATCCCACTCGCGCTGCCATTTTCTGAACATGGGTCCCAAGAAGGAGCATGAAGCTCAACTGTGCAGGCACACATGTCGCCTCTCGCAAGGATACACTCCTCCTACAGCTCACCGAGCACAGACATTCGGCCACCTGGCTCGGCATGCTTTCCTGCTCCCCTTCCAGTCCCTCAGAAGATCTGTTTTTGGTTTCTAGCCCAAGGCTATGATTATCAGCCATCAGAACAGCCACCCTACAGGCTGCAATCCAGTAGGAGAAACAAAGCCCTCCCTTCCACATTTCTGAACCATCATTCTGCACTGACAACCGCCATGACCCGTGCAGCCGGGAAGAGATGCAGGCAGCTCCCCAGCGGGCTCCACCACGCCACTGTCTAAGGATCTTGAAGGAAAACCTGGGTCAGTCTCTAAGTCACATGCTCACTACATAGTGTTCCACGTTCTTCACTTTAAAAGCAGATCAGTAGAAAATTTTACAATTGTATTCCTCCCAAGGAAGTCCCTAATATACAGCAAAATCAGCCTAAACACATGAACCACCCTGGCATGGTTCTTACATTACTATGATCCCCTAAGGGAATTCACATTTAAAAAAAAAACTTCCAGCCAGGTGTGGTGGCAGAGGCCTGTAACCCCAGCTACTCGGGAGGCTGAGGCAGGAGAATCACATGAACCTGGGAGATGGGGTTTGCAGTGACCCGAGATTGTGCCACTGCACTCTAGTCTGGGCAACAGAGTGAGCCCCTGTCTCAAAAAAAAAAAAAAAAAAAAAAAGGTTCCTGAACCACTGTTAAAACATTTTTATGGGAAAATAGAGAATACACTGTGATAGTTAATTTTATGTGTCAAATTAAACATGGTGTCTGGGTGTGTCTCTGAGAGTGTTTCCAGATGAGATTAACATTGAATGGTGGACTCAGTGAGGCAGAGGCCCCTTCCCAAAGTGGGTGTGCCTCATCCAAACCATCCAAGGCCTGAACAGAACCAAAGGCAGAGAAAGAAAACATCTATCTGTTCCATCCTGCCTGCCGGCTTCAACTAGAGGAACAGTCTCCTCCTGCCCTTGACCTGGGGTTTGGCTACTGTGGGTCTCAGTCTTCTGACTCAGAGTAGAGTTACAGCCCTGGCATTCCTGGGTCTCCCGCCTGCAGATGACAGATCACGGGGCTTCTTGGCCTCTATAGCCGCATGTGCCAATTCCTGTAAATCCCATCTCATATATAATGTTTATCTCCTACTGGTTCTCTGGAGAACCCTAACACATATACAAAATCTAGCTGCTGAGAATAACAGTGCCATTTTAAAATAAGGTGTGGGATTCTGGTTACTTTGGAAGTGTGCACCTGCATCATGAAGAAAATTCACATGCCTGTAATCCCAGTATTTTGGGAGGCCAAGGCGGGTGGATCATCTGAGGTCAGGAATTCGAGACCAGCCTGGCCAACATGGCAAAACCTCATCTCTACTAAAAATACAAAAGTCAGCCGGATGTGGTGGTGCACACCTGTAATCCCAGCTATTTGGGAAGCTAAGGCAGGAGACTGGCTTCAACTCAGGCAGAGGTTGCAGTGGGCGGAGATCACACCACAGCACTCCAGCCCGGGCAATAAACCAAGACTCTGTCTCAAAAAAAAAAAAAAGAAAATGCATAAATTGAATTATATGCATGCTTTACTTTCTACAACAATCAACAAAGACAAATAATAACTAGAGAAAGAGGAAGTCTTAGTCTTGTGTAGATATGAATTTCCTAGTTTCCTTTAGTGAGTAGGAACATGATATAGCAGGTTAGACATAAAAAGAATCTGAAGTAAAATTTTAAAAAGTAATATACGGGTTTTCCAGTCTAAGGTATCTAAATTCTAATCCATATCCCTTGACTTACTAGTTTTGTAATTTTGTAAAATAAAGAAAGGTTTAATTTAAAAGAAGAAGGAGAAGAGGAGGAAAGGAGGAAGGAAGGAACAGTGGAGGAGCGGGGGGAGGAGGGGGAGGAGGGGGAGGAGGAGGGGGAGGAGGAAGAGGAAGGAGGAGGAGGGGAGGACGGGAGGAGGGGGAGGAGGAAGAGGAAGGAGGAGCAGCAGCAGCAGCAGGAGGAAGAGGAGGAGGAGGAAGAGCAGGAGGAGGAGCAGCAGCAGCAACAGCAGGAGGAAGAGGAGGAGGAGCAGCAGGAGGAGGAGCAGGAGGAGGAGCAGGAGGAGGAGCAGCAGGAGGAAGAGCAGGAGGAGGAGCAGCAGCAACAGCAGGAGGAAGAGGAGGAGGAGCAGCAGGAGGAGGAGCAGCAGCAGCAGCAGGAGGAAGAGGAAGGAGAAGCAGCAGCAGCAGCAGGAGGAAGAAGAGGAGGAGGAAGAGCAGGAGGAGGAGAGGAGGAGGGGGAGGAGGAAGAGGAAGGAGGAGGAGCAGCAGGAGGAAGAGGAGGAGGAGGGGAGGAGGGGGAGGAGGAAGAGGAAGGAGGAGCAGCAGCAGCAGGAGGAAGAGGAGGAGGAGCAGCAGGAGGAGGAGCAGGAGGAGGAGCAGCAGGAGGAAGAGCAGGAGGAGGAGCAGCAGGAGGAAGAGGAGGAGGAGCAGCAGGAGGAGGAGCAGCAGGAGGAAGAGCAGGAGGAGGAGCAGCAGGAGGAAGAGGAGGAGGAGCAGCAGGAGGAAGAGGAGGAGGAGCAGCAGGAGGAGGAGCAGGAGGAGGAGCAGGAGGAGGAGCAGCAGGAGGAAGAGCAGGAGGAGGAGCAGCAGCAGCAGCAGGAGGAGGCAGAGGAGGTGGTGGCGGTGGTGGCAGCCACTGTGTGCCCGGCAGGGAAGAGAACGCAGGCCACAGGCTAGGCTGAAGCCCTGGGCCTATGCTCAGGCCAAGCACAGGCTGAAGCAATGTTTAGTGTGGGGTCTCTACCAGCCTGACAGAAGAGTCAGTACTTAACAGGTGTCAGGGATGACTGAGAGATGAGATCATAACCACAGCAATAAACTCATTAAAAATATAAAGACAACTGACAGCAAGCAAGGTTATCAGGACATGACAAAGTCTCTGCCTCAGCTGGGCTCTGCAGGCCCTGTTGCTCCCTGAAGATTTCTCTCCATTAAGCGTTCCTATTGCAATCAGCACAGAAGAAAAGTGTGCAAGAGACAACCAGTCTACTACAAGATTCCATACCAAATACACTCAGGAACTCACTGCTCTCTTAGAATTCCACTGCCTGTGGTTTACGAGGCAGAGTTAAGCATCTGCGATTCAAAGTAAGGTATTTCAATCCAGCCTGCTTTGTTTACATGCAGGATTCATTTCCCATTTCATGTTTGACCGAATATGCTGTAGTGTGTAAGAATATTCTTACCTACCTGCATTAACATATAGTAGATTCCAGCCATGCCATGGGCCGCTCCAACATACTGCTTCCGGTGCCACTGGTACAGCAGTGGGCAGCGTTCTGTTTTTCTTTCTTCCCTTGACAGGGTCTTACCCGATTCAATAATAGCATTGACTACCTACAGAGATAATGAGACAGCATCAGTCTAAAACTGCATATGTACCCTGCTGCAGTCTAATTAACAGTATGTTACATATATGACATATAGAGAGACAGACAGAAAACTTAATCTAGAAGTCTTTAAGTCGTTAGCAGCTAACGTAGTTATGTTTATTTTATCAGTTAATAAATGAGGGCAGAAAGAAATAAGAAGCCAATCTCAGAGTAGGAAAAGATACTAAGTCTAAGAAATAAAAAATTCTTTGTATAAAAAGTCAACCAAAAATCTAGAAAAACTTCTTAAAAAAACCGTTCTGGATTTCTTTCTTTCTTTCTTTTTTTTTTTTTTTTTTTGGAGATGGCATCTTGCTCTGTTGCCCAGGCTGGAGTGCAGTGGTGCAATCTGGTCTCACTGCAATCTCCACCTCCTGGGTTCAAGCAATTCTCCTGCCTCAGGCTCCCGAGTAGCTGGGACTACAGGTGCACGCCACCACACCTGGCTAATTCTTTCATATTTTTTGTAGAGACGGGGCTTCCCTGTTTGCCCAGGCTGGTCTCGAACTCCTGAGCTAAGGCAATCCCCCCACCTCAGCCCCCCAAAGTACTAGGATTACAGGCGTGAGCAACCATGCCCAGCCTGGATTTCTTAGTTGCTCCATAGCTGCAGTATTTTTGCAAAAAGAGCAGCACATAAACCTACCGGGAAAGGCTAGAGGAACTGCTTTATTTATGAAAGGCTAATGATATGAGTTCTGCTGTGGTATGAAGGATTTCGATGAGATCAAGAGAATATCATGTCTGGGATGATAGTTTCCTCATGTCTGTCCCCTCTCATCCTTTTTGGGAAAGTATTCCAAGTTTCAGCTGGGCATCTGGCCCCCTAGTTAAGAGCCAGCTGAACACAGACGCTTGATGAAGTTCTGGCACTGGGACGGAAGCAGAAGTAAAGTGGGCAACTTGGAGACGGAGTCTCTAACAAGGAAGCTGTGTCGCCTCCACCTCTTCTTCCCCCTTCATAGGCTGAGGGGCTAACTAGCTTTGGTCCTGCAAAGAAGGGTATACCCGTAGGATAAGGCAGAATGAGACAGAAGCTGGTCCCCACTCGTACCAGCCTGAAATGCTGACATCTCATGAAAGAGAAATAAACATTCTAACTTTCTAAAGCTGCTGCTGTTTAGTTCCGGTAAAAATGGATGAATTAATAAAAGATGAAAAAGAGAACAGATTTTTTTTTTTGGTTAATGTCCCTAGAAAAAAAGCCAGGCTATTTGTTATTTTTAATGAGTTCCTTTAAAAAAGTAATGCTACCTAGAAGCAGAGTCCAGTTATTAATATAACTCAATGCCAGCAAATAGGTTTGAACGGCAGAGATGCCCACAGTTGCCCATACCCCACAGTACCTCTTTAATAGCAGACTCACACACAGTGCCTGGACCTATCTCCGTGTTCAGGTACAGTAAGGCATACAGATAACCTGCCCGTCCATAAAGCAGCTCATCAGGAAGGTCTGATTCTTGGCAGACAACCGCTTTCTGGAGCTGTAAAAGTCTAACCAACAAGAAAAATTCATTTTTTTTCCCCAGGGGAGAAGTCTAAAGTACTTCTTCCTGAAACACTCACCCTGTTATTTAAGTTAAAAACTATGATTTAAAAAAAATACTTCCAAATCCAGAATACAACAAAAACGTCTCCAAATCACTAGTCTCCTTTTGAATGTCAAAATAAAAAATCAAACATCTTTGTTATTTTCTACCTTTACATCTATTTTAAACCATAACATTTTTATTTTGAAATCCAGAAGTAAAACAAAGTGATTTAAAATTTAAATAAAAATAGTACTGTAGGCTGGGCACAGTGGCTCACGCCTATAATCCTAGCTCTTTGGGAGGCCGAGGCTGGTGGATCACCTGAGGTCAGGAGTTCAAGACCAGCCTGACCTACATGTCTACCAAAAATACAAAATTAGCTGGGTGTGGTAGTGCATGCCTGTAATCCCAACTACTTAGGAGGCTGAGGCAGGAGAACTGCTTGAAGCCAGGAAGTAGAGGTTGCAGTGAGCCAAGATCACATCATTGCACTCCAGCCTGGGCAACAAGAGTAAAACTCTGTCTCAAAAAAAAAAAAAAAAAAAAAAGTATTGTAATGTCACCAATGCTTGGGAATTAGATTGTCATTCTGTCTTTTTCTTTCTTTTTCTTTAGAGACAGGGTATTGCTCTGTTGCCCAGGCTGGTATGCGGTGGCAGGATGATGGTTCACTGCAGCCTTGAACTTCCGAGCTCAAGCAATCCTCCTGCCTCAGCCTCCAAAGTTAATGGACCTACAAGTGCATGCCACCATACCCAGAAGTTATTCTGTCTTTCAAAAAACATTAATGGACTAGCATGTGCCAGATACTCTACCAGACCCTAGGAATGAGCCCTCATTTCTGTTTCTTCAAGGAAGAGTATAAACCAACAGGTGCAATAAAAGCTTACATTCCCTAATTGTTCCATCATTAGCATATCTGATGAGTTACTTAAAGGTTGACCCTAAGATCAGTTTCCTTATGGTGAATCTAAAGCATGTAAGCTGATTTTCATGCACTGAAGGGAACCAAAAATTGCTTATGAAAGATGGTTAGAATGACTCAAGGAAACATATTTATTCCTCCCACAACTACTGCACACACATGCTTGGATAAAAAGAGTGCATATGATCCCACCATTATGCTCAAGATTAACATTTTGGAGACACCTGTTTACAACAATGGATGAACTAAAGAATAATTTCTTTTTTGAATATCTTTCTATAGCAAAAACTTCCACTGGGAATTGGGAGAAAATGTTTCCAGTTCTAAAACTCACTTTGTGACGCATTCCTGGGATTCACAGTCACTTCTGAGTTTGTGATAAATCACAGCTCCAACAGCCAGGGGCCCGGCATCCCCACAGAGGAAGGTGACCCTGCGCCCATTCAGATTCCGAAGTGTTCTTTTTACATAATCCAGGGATCGGAGCAGGTAGGTCTGGTCACATGTGACCCGGTACAACTGCAGGTATAAAAGGGCTATGCCTGGAATAATTTCCCGCCCCAAAAGAAAAGCATTATTATCTTTTCCTTTTATCTTCAGGACATTATTTGCAATTACACGAAATACCTTCCTCTACATAAATCTTATGTTTCCAAAGGGGTAACACCAAAACAATACCTAGCATACATTCCTTAAAAATGAATAAACAAAACAAAACCAAGATGGAGAAATCAGGGAGTAAAGAATAGAAACCAAGTTTGAACACATTATCTTGCAACTTCTCCTGGCACAGTGATTTAATACCTCTTACAGACAAGGGAAGATCCATCACTTCCTACTCATTGTCAGTTAATTTTCATTCTTTCCAAGGTTATATTCATTCTCCCTTGTACCTTTGGCTAACTTGCATCATCTTCTTTTACTTCTCATAAAACCATTTCTCCTACGTTATCGCAATGATTATTTTTCTGAACTTTATATCTCCTTCCTATTTTTTTTTTCTATTTTTTCCCAATTTTTCAATGTTCTTCAGTGAACTACCCTCCAACGGACCAACCAACTGGTGAGTGAACTTGCCATTTCTGGGGTAGTCACATGGTATAGAGTTAGGCGACCAGTACAAAGGACATGTGCGGTTCGTCACCCACCAACCTTTCCATTCTAGATAAAGAACAGACTCAGATCTTCAAATGAATCTGAGAGTCGCCAGAGAAGAGCCTATACAGCTTCTTAATCAAGCATAGTCTTATGTCTGGGTTTGAGAAGACAATATGACAGCTAAATTAAAAAAAAAAAAAGGAATCAGTATAAATATGTATTTACTAAAGTCTTTTATAGGAAGAAGTATTGACAGAGATGGTATGCTGATGAAAAGGCCAAATGAAACATTTCTTTTATATTTAAGTTGTGGTTCTTCAATATTCTAGTCTTTGTCTGATATCCTACTCTGATTTTTACTATGTTTCATTTTGCTTTTTAAATTTATCTAAATATCTAGCTGCTTCTTTCTTTGATTCTTCTATTCAGGGTATATCACTCCTCTTTCAAATTAATCCTTAACACTTTTTGAAGTCTTTCACTATTATCCATTTCTTTAAAGACGCTGAGTCAAACAGATATGAAAGTTGCGTATTCGGAAGCTCTGAAAAACATTCTTCTGCATGAGTTGCTTATCATCTCCTTGAGTGATGTTTTCTGTATTCAAAAAATATGAGCATATGGGAAACAGACAGCAAAAGTTAAATACTTATAAATTTTAACTATGAAGGCTTACAAATGAGTATTCCCTGATTGACTCAGAAACCTCTAAAAATAGGACGCTGATCTGGTAAACCTATGAATCTGAAAACCAATAGTTATATACACTTAATGCTTCAGTATTTTAAAGTAAATGATAACAGGTAAAGTAAAAAACAAAAAAGGTCATCATGGTTTGTCATTTCTTGTTGGCAGGTATACACGCTGCACTAGGTAAAAGGAGCTGCAGTGAACAGGCCTTAGGGATGTGGTGGGAGGTTCTGGGGCAGGCTCAACCTTCTGGCCAGCTTATGCCTTTGGACTGTGAACTACTCCAGTGCCTCCCATGCCCACGCCCTCAGTTGACTAGGATGGCTAGTGGGAGCTGCAGCTCATTATCTCCCTTTCCCAATGCTGCAAGCTACAGCCAGCTGGAGTTGGGCACCTCCCTTGCTCCGGGCAGGCAGGGCTGCGATAAACCCCTTGCAGGAGAGGCTCTGGTAAAGCAGTTTCTCCTGAGGGCAGGCCTTGTCAAGAACAGAAGACTCTGATGGAATTCAGCATGGTTCCTTCCCCCGAACCTACGAGAAGCATGAAGGGAGTTTTCTCAGACATTCACTGCAGCCTCGACCTCCTGGGCTTGAGTCATCCTCCTACCTCAGCCTTATGAGTAGTTGGGACTACAGGTGCTTACTGCTGCACCCAGCTAATTTTTTTTTTAATTTTTATTTTTGTAGAGATTGGGTCTTACTATGTTGCCCAGGTTGGTCTCAAACTCCTGGCCTCAGACCATCCTCCCACCTCTGTCTCCCAAAGTGCTGGGATTACAGGCATGAGCCACTGTGCCCAGCCTTCTTCTAAAACTGTACACACACTTTAGGGGACGTATGGGTCTATGTGAATTCCACGAAGACCTGGTGGAGCTCCTAGAGGTAAAGTTCACAAAAGTGTGAGAGCCCCCGAGACTGGGTCCCCATGGAGTTTTGTCTCTCTGGCTTGCCCACACTGAGCCCCTGCAATTCATCATTAGCGTTTCAGTCTCCTACCCTAGCACTGGTTCCCACGGTGCCTGCCGCTCCTGTTAGCTGTGCGGTCACATGCGCATATGGTGTTTTGGTCAACAACAAACTGCATACTCAACCCCACAGAACACAATCACAACAGCATGTTTTTCTGTACCTCTTCTATGTCTAGCTGTGTTTAGATACAAAAACACCATTGTGTTACAACTGCTACAGTATTCAGTGCAGCAATGCTGTACAGCTTTGCAGCCTAGAGCGACAGGCTGCATCATAGAGCATCAGGATGTGCAGCTGGTTACACAGTCTCGGTGTGTGTGAGCAGCTCTGTGACATCTGCATAATGAAACTGCCCAACGATGTGTTTCTCAGAACGCACCCACAACGTGAAGCGACGCACGACACTAAGTCTCAGCATTCACCTGTTTCGCCAGTTTTTGGTGCAGCAATTTGGCCCTGTGACCTCACTTCTCTGAGAGAGCTAAGAAGAGGTGTTAAGTTTTCACTTCGTTCAGCCTCTTATTTGCTAGGATGCAACAGTGACTTCTACACTCCTTATATACCAGACTGGAAGACTGAAGTCTCTCTTTAACTTATCTTTGTTTGTTTTTCTTTGCTTTTTTTTCCTTTTTAGTTTCATTTAGTCCCTTATTTATTAAGCAAGCATTTATTAAACCCTTCCTAGACAAGGAGGATACTTTGCCCCTCTGCTTTCTGTGGGATCAGCTCTTTCTTTGGCTCCTTACACTTTGGTCTCATTTCTGAAATAATTCTGTCTTTTCCATAAATTTCTTTTCTTCGTCTGTCAATTCTTATTTCACACGCTCTTATTGTCTAGCCATCTCTTCTCTGAGTTCCTTTACCTCTGCGTTGTGAACTCACTGCTTAGCTAAGTTACAAAATGAATGTTGAAAGTACTGCCAATTTGTCCCACCTTGTGGTGACATTTTCCTGGTGCGTTTTCTCCTTCCATTGAGAAATGTTGATTTTTCTTTTTCTTCCTTATATTATGGATACAATAATTATGTTTTTTCTTAAAATTGAATTTTTCTATATGAACTATTAACAGGACAAATCCCTGGAAAGGGAAAATGATTAGGGTAGCTTTCCCAATTTTTTATCCCAATGGTGTCTTCTTGCTAAGTGATAACAGTGTATTTAACATGGAGATTCTGGTGGCCAGGTCTCCTGACTCTGAGGCCCTTCCTTGTTTCAGGAGTGCCCATCGCTGCTGCTTCGTTTCTCTCCTGCACCGTTGGCCGGGGCCGGCAAGGGTGCTGCTCCATGTTGCAAGCTAACCCCGCCGCTCTGCAAGTCAGGCCTGTTCTATAGCTCTCCAAGCCCATTCCCTGTGCACTTTCCATGTCCTTATTCCCGGCATCTCCTGGCACTGCCTGCCTGCTCGGCACTCGGATATGCCCACAAACGTTCCCACTGAGGCTGGTGCCCACTCCCCCTGGAATCTGATTCTGGAAGGATGGGTGTGGTTGGGGAGATGTGGCCACGCCTGGATCCACGCTTCCTCGCCCACACACTGTGGCTCTCCACACTGGTTCTGAATGCTGCTAGTTTTTTACCCAACACGACTTGTGTAAATTTCTCTGTCTCAAAATGTTAAAGGGATAAGTTGCTGGTGCTTCATTTGTTCTTCTTCCATTTTCTTTGTTGAGACAGGGTCTCATTCTGTCACCCAGGCTGGAGTACAGCAGCGCAGTCATGGCTCACTGCAGCCACGACCTCCTGGCCTTCCCACTAGCTGGAACTATAAGCACACGCCACCACACCCAGCTAATTTTTGTTTTTCAGTAGAGACAGGTTTCACCACATTGCCCAGGATGGTCTCAGGTGATCTGCCCTCTTTGCCCCCCAAAGTGCTTTGGATTAAGGCTTGAGCCACTGTCCCGGTCTATGCTGTTTATTAATTAAACTGTAAGAATCCAGCAAGAAATCACTCTAAATGTCTATATAAATTGTCATTAGGAATTTTGTCAGACTTCAGTCTAATCCCTGAGAACAAGGTCATCTTTTATATTATTTCTACTCCCCAAACAGTTATTAAAATATTCTGGGTACCTGGTAAAATAATAAGAATGCAAAGGTTAGTTAAGGCAAGCTAATTTTTTAATTACACTTTTTGATGTGAGGTGTATTACTGGTTAACTGTTATTAAAATTAAAAAAAATTTATGTGCACAAATGAATCAAATAAGCACAGGCAGTAGGGTAGATAGTTTATATCACAGAACACAGAGACCACTCACCACAGCCTGTCACAATGACCAGAGCAGCAAAGAACGCTTTAAAACTGACCCTAGGGCAAGCTTGCTCTTGACAGTTACACATTTTCACAGACAGCTATATATTAGGTTAAATAAATAATCTAGTGTTATTTACTTATATAAAAATATATTAAAAAAATATAACACACTAGATGTAAAAGTTCAAACTTCAGGCAGAAAGCCATTTCTTTAGAAACAAAATTCCAAACAATCTCATCATTGAAGACACAGACCAAGACTTCAATTAAAAGGCATATAATCAGTCAGGCAGGGTGGCTCACGCCTGTAATCCTAGCACTTTGGGAGGCTGAGGCAGGAGGATCTCTTGAGCCCAGGAATTTGAGACCAACTTGGGCAACGTAGTGAGACTCCATCTTTACAAAAACATAAAAAAATTAGCCAGGTGAGGTGGCATGTGCCTGTGGTCCCATCTACATAGGAGGCTGAGGCAAGAGGATGGCTGGAACCCAGGAGGTCAAGGCTGCAGAGAGCTGTGACTGCACCACTGTACTCTAGCCCTGGCAACAGAGTGAGACTCTGTCTCAAAAAAAAAAAAAAAAAAAAAAAAAAGGTATAAAATCTATTTTATTTTATTTTATTTTATTTTATTTTTTTATTTTATTTTTTTTATTTTATTTTTTTTATTTTATTTTATTTTATTTTATTTTATTTATTTATTTATTTATTTTTTATTTTTTATTTTATTTTATTTTAGATGGAGCCTTGCTCTGTGGCCCAGGCAGCAGTGGCACAATCCTGGCTCACTGCAACCTCTGCTTCCTGGGTTCAAGCGATTCTCCTGCTTCAGCCTCCCAAGTAGCTGAGATTACAGGTTCCGACCACCACGTCTGGCTAATTTTTGTATTTTCAGTAGAGACGGGGTTTCACCATGTTGGCCAGGCTGGTCTTGAACCCCTGACCTCAGGTGATCTGCCTGCCTTGGCCTCCCAAAGTGCTGGGATTACAAGTGTCAGCCACCATGCCCAGTCAAATCTTTAGCATTTTAAAAAAGAAGAAAATTTCAAAGTTGGGTCTTATATCTCATAATCTAAGAATCAGTGACTTAGACCCCACAGTCTCACCTGTCCAGCCAGTATAAGCGGAGCAGTCATGAGGATCAGCTGTCTTCAGCCCTTCTTCCATTTGCTGTAGAAGATCTTTAATTTTGGTCTGGATCCGTCTTATGAAATTATGAATGATCTGAGATCCAAAAGAAGAGATAACTTTAACTGCACAAGAATGGGACAATGTTGTAATAAATACTTTAAAGTCTAAATTATACGCACATAACAGACAAAAGTTACTTTCCTCAGTGTATCGCTGGTTGGAGTCTACCGTGGTTTTTATAAGGTTACTTTTTCAAAAATGAGAAAATATCCTAGCCAGACTATAACTCATAAGCAGAATCACAAAAAACATCTTGCAGAAATCAAAGAATTAAAAAAAAAAAACAGAAAATAAAAAAGGATGAATTTAACTATACAAATACTTCAACTTCTATAAGATAAAACATCAGAAAGATGGTTTAAAAATTAATGACAAAATGGAAATATATATTATAAATCAACAATAAGCATAATACATAACTACACCCCAAATTATTAATCTCCTCATACAAAAGAAAATGATAAGCATATGCAAAAAAAATTCAATCACTCAGTGATTAATGAAATGCAAATAAAAACAAGTACTGTGATTTTCTTTCCAGATTAAAAAAGAATACTACAGAAAAAGACTTAAGTCCCAAGGCTGCTAAGAGCAAACAAAACAGGTATTCTTATTCATTGCTGGTAGTCTTTCCCAAGAGAAGTATGCAACATTCTTAAATAATGTAGCTGATAGTGTTGTTAAGATCTTTCCAACCTTTGCTGATTTTTTTTTTTTTTTTTTTTTTTTGAGAAGGAGTTTTGCTCTTGTCTCCCAGGCTGGAGTGCAATGGCACCATCTTGGCTCATTGTAACCTCCCCCTCCTGGGTTCACACAATTCTCCTGCCTCAGCCTCCTGAGCAGCTGGGATTACAAGCTCCGGCCACCGCACCAGGCTAAGTTTTGTATTTTTAGTAGAGACAGGGTTTCACCATGTTGGGCAGGCTGGTCTCGAATAACTGACCTCAGGTGATCCACTGGCTTTGGCCTCCCAAAGTGCTAGGATTACTAGTGTGAGCCACTGCGCCTGGTCCACCTTTGTTGATTTTTAAAAATCTACTTGCTCTATCAATGGAGGTATTAAAACATCCCGTTATGATTATGGAACTGTTTATTTCTCCCATTAACTCTCTCTCTCTCTCTCTTTTTGCTTTCATGTATTTTGAAGTTCTGTTATTAGGCATAGACAAATTAATGACTATTATGGCTTCCTGACAAACTGACTCATTTTCACAATGAAATGTCCTTCTGTGAAACTGTAGAGAAAATATTTTTAGGTTTCTGCAGAACTAGGACTTTCAGGAAAAATTCTACTGAAATTTGGGGTTCTTGACTAAAAGTAAACCTTAGGAGCAAAGGTGTGCAGGATATGAACTCCAGAGAGGTTTCCCTGACCCTGGCTGTGCATGTTTACATTTCAAAGTGTTTAAGGCCCCAGAACCAGGAGACATTTCTGACTTGTAAAACTGAAGACAATGGGCTCATCTTTTCTATACAGAGATTTATGTACATTATGAAAAGATTAAGAAAGATACTGCTATCTTTCCTTAAAGACTCTCAGAAAGGTAAGGGGAGACAACTACCTTTTTCCCTTTTATAAAAAGCACAGAACATTTACTTTCCTTATCTACAATACAGGCTTTGCTGATGAAGGACATCAGACCCTGCCTGCACTGCACTGCACCACAGGTAAGAACTGGGACCCAGGAATTGCCCACTGGTTATTTGCTGTCAGGTAAACAGGAAGAAATTCCTGATCCAAAAACCTTTTGCTACATTCAGGACAAAATTAATTAACATAAGCATCAAAACTGAACACCCTCTTTATCTGCTCATCCTAAGAGCTAATTTATGGGACATTTCACACATAGTCACCAAGTTTTCAGATGCCCGCTACTTGCTTACTTGGCCATCCATTCACTTTCAACCTTCCTCTTTATATTTAAAGTGCATCTCTTGTGTAACATACAGTTAGGTCTTTGTTAATTTATTCTGATAGTCTTAGAGTCCCTCAGTGGACATGAGCAGAACCCTCTTCACTGGCAGGATGCCCTAAGAGAAAGTGTGGTTCAATTAGCCCTGGGTGGCACATTTTCCAGTCTCACTGTGGGACAAACCCCATCTATTTCTGCAGACTCACCTCTAGGCTGTATTTTTTTAAAACTGGAATGAATTCAACCCCTCAATCCTCAGAAAGAAATGTCTAAGTTTCTTGTGTAATACAGCATGGCTCCTATGCAGAAAATCAACAAATTTGCTTCTTCAGTCTTTTATAACCAAAAGCAGAATAAGGAGGACAAGGGGGGGAAAGAAAGAAGAAAAGAAAGAAAAACACAGAAACAAGAGGCAGAGGCAGGCTGAACTGTTGGCTGTTGTAAAGCCCCAGCCCCCTTCAGGTTTCCCTGAAGATACTCCTCCAAATGACTGCTACCAGTGGCGAAGGCCAGGATACTCAAAGGCAAACTGCCCCCAATGAGATAAACACGAAAAGCCCCACCCAACTTGTGCCCTCTGCCACTGTCGAGGTCCGAGGACCGAAGGGCTCCCAGGATGGAATCCCAACCCCTGAAAGCCTTGAGCTGAAAGGGCTCTCTGCTCTGGCTGAAAACAGCTCACCTTAAGTGGTGACTTCAGGAGGCAGAAAAAATTTATCTCACACCATGTACGTCTGGAGTGCCAAGGCTCTCCCTGACTGAGGGGATAAAGCAATAAAGGAAAGTAGTGAAGGGGCTGGCCCCACACCTTGCAATGGCTGGTTGGCTTATAAGCCGTCCCGTAAAGCTTAACTCTTTCCTCTCTATTCCTTTCTTTTTAAACAGAGTCTTCCTCTGTTGCCCAGAATGGAGTGCAGTGGTACCATCTTGGCTCACTGCAGCCTCTGCCTTCCGGGTTCAAGCCATTCTTGTGCCTCAGCCTCCCAAATAGCTGGGATTATAGGCATGCTCTACCCCATCTGGCTAATCTTTATATTTTTAGTAGAGACAGGATTTCACCATGTTGACCAGCCTGGTCTCAAACTCCTGGCCTCAAGTGATCCACCTGCCACCACCTCCCAAAATGCTGGAATTTCAGGTGTTGAGCCCCCATGCCCGGCCCATTCCTTTCTTCTCTTTTCCTCTTTATCTGTTCAATCAAGGGGTCTAGCCTTAAGAGAGAAAAAGTCTCTAGCATCCTAACCCCTGATTTTGTTATTCTCTTTAAAACTCCAGCTGGTTACATATTATGGCCCATTTTTGTACACATTTTAAACTGATGGGCAAGCTACAAGAGAAATTCAGAGCTCAAATGGTTAACCTGCAATGTAGAGTTTAGAGTGAGTCTTCTAAAGCTCTCTTCCCCTCTTTGTTTCCTGACTGCTTTAAATCTGCTGTTACTAAGTTGCTGGTGGTAAGACTCAATATTTATGGCCCAACTAATATGTAAACATTGAAAACTCACTGAAAGTTAAAGAAGAAAAGGAAAAGAAGTATTTTTATTAAGGAAAGTTACAAAAGGAAATTTTATAGAAGAAAGAATCTTGTAATGGTATATTCTTATCTTAAAGTAACCAGTTGTAAAAAAACAAACAAAAAAGTTGTTTAGAACAAGCCAGAAAGTCCAAGCATGTCATAAATGGCCTGTGTAAGTCATGAAAAAGTTCATGAAGGAGAATCTATAAAAGGAATTTTGTACAGTCTTTCTAACATTAATCTTTAATGTTAAAATAAGGTTTTCTTAAGGTATTAATCTGCTCTTAATAAAACTGCAACATGTTTTACTTAGAATTTTATAAAAATTAAAAAGAAACTCCTCAGAATCGTATCTCTGAAGTTCAACATCTGCTGTGTCCCACTGCCTTCAGCTTTTCTCCCTTGGAAAAGGCCTAGGATAGTAACTCTCTTCTTCAGTTTTTGTCAGTTCCTGTAACTTTTTCCTTCAGTCCTGTTAATTGTGGCCTAATGCTAAAATGTTTTATCTTGAAGGTCAACATTAACCAATGTTTTCCTCTAACATAATTCCGTACTCCTGGCTTTTCTTGATATTTATCTAAATTCTGAATGTAATCAAAAACATCTCATGCTATTCCTGTGAGTCATGTGTTCCCCTGCTATACTCATACGCTCCTAACCCTAAACACACTCTTCCTATGTCTAATTAAATTGAAACACTTCTTCATCAAGTTTAACTTCCAAGTTAACTAAATGGACACCCATCAAAAAAAGTCACACTGCAAAAGGTCTTTCTTTGCCTTTTTGGAACTGGCTTTAAAGAAACCCCAAACTTTTATCTTCTAGAGTTCATAAGTTTCACCTTCAAATGATGCTGCAAATGACATAGCAATCTCTCCCCAATAATGGCTGCTACCTTTACGAATATCCCCAGGATTCAGCTGAATACCAGTTTCATCTTAACATAATCCCCCCTCTAATGAGTCCCTTCTTCCAGTAAGGTCCAATATCCTACGTCCCACAATCCAAAACAATAACCTGCATAACTTCTCGACCAACTAATAATCCTAAGTAGGGCAGCTCTACAACCTGGTCAGCAGGAAGCAGTTGGAAGATGAGACCTTCCTCCACATGCCAAAGATCTGTCATTGCTGCTCTGTCATGGGGGAAATGTGGAGTCCTAATTAGAAAAAGGAAGTCATGCTGGTGGGAGCAATGGAAGCAAAAAAACCCAGATAAGCTAAAGTCTGCCTTTCTTCAGGGTCCAGAACATGTACCTCTCCTGTGCTCAACTTATGAGCAGACACCTACAAGTTAGCTCACTGCAGCCTTGGCATTATTGGTACTGCACAAAGCTCTCCAGCAAATCCCACAGCACCATTCTATAAAATCTCCAGCAATCCTTTGTTTCCTTACAGTCAGCTTCTCTTCACTGGCCTGTCACCTCCTTGCAATGTCTTTTCCTTCTTTCTCTAGTAAATCTGCCTTTCTGTACTTACAACCGTCTTGGTAATTTCTTGCACCCCCATGCCATCAGCCCAGATAGTTGCCACTCACCCACGACAGTCTCCATCAGGTATCAACCTCTGTTGCTTTTTTTGAAACAGGGTTTCACTCCTGTCACCC